CGCAAGGGGGAGGCCATCGTCCTCGCAGCCGCGTGCCGAGGGGCCGTCAGGGGCTCGGCTGGGTGCTGCAGCGGTGGGGGAAGGCAACGTTAATATGCTGACAGCATTCGTTTGAAAACTACCTTTTGGACTTGTTTGCTTGACCTTTCTGATTTTTATTTTTTTTTTTTTTAATTTACAATTCCCTAGGAAAGATCAGCACCTACTTTCCCCTGTGAACTGCTGGTACCTGGTTCTGACGCAGACCCGGCGGGAGAGCAGAGATCACGCCACCCTGAACGACATCTTCATGAACAATGTCATCGTCCGGCTGTCGCAGATCAGCGAGGATGTCATCAGGCTCTTTAAAAAGGTAACCAAAGCAGCGATGGAGAGTTCTGCTCAGCGAGGATCCATCCTTGCATTTTAGTCTGAAAAAGAAGCTTGTGGGCTTGTACACAACTGTGTCCCCCAAAAAGTCTAAAGACACACAAAAAAAGCCAACACTGTTAAAAAGCAGAGGAAGGTACCAAGACCTAAGAAGTACGTGTCACATCTTAATGGGAAAACTAGAGATGAGTTTGGCCTCTGGGCAGTGAAAATGTGAAGGCGTGGAAGGCAGGCTGAATAAAATTCTCAGAGACAACTTGGGTAAGAGCGACAGGCCAACTGGCTGCTTTAGGTTGGTCCTCGGTACGGAAAAGCTTAGACTGGGGGTTTCCTTGGGGGATGGTGGTGTCACCAACCTGAGGAGCCTTATCCACCTGAGCTGTCGTTAGATGTTACAGGGTAAATCTGTACAAGGGACCGTCACTTAAGTCTTTCCAGATAATATTTATCCAAGGATTTTAAAGAAACAGAGATATGAAACCGTCAAGTGGCTAGCAGCGAGGAGTGACCCGATGCTTAACCTGGCATTAGTGCCAGGGAAATGAAAGGTGGAAAACATGACGACTGCTTTTAAAGACTCCTGGAGGGTTTCAGAAAACAGCTTGGCAGTCCGACTTTAAAATCAGACTTGTTGGGTGAAGCCTTAGTGAAGAGCAGGATGACGGGCAGGTAGGCAGGTACGAGAGAGGAGTCAGCGTGGCTTTAAGAGCCATGCCTCATAAATCTAGTGGAGGTATTTCCAGGAGCCAGTCATCATCTGAGTACGTTGGCACGGGCTTTGGAAAAAGGTCCCTCGCTGAAGTCCTTAAAGAAAAGAAGCTGTTGGAGGATAAGGAGTGGTTGTTTTCTGGATTAATGACTGGTTGAAAGACAGGGAACAAAGGGAAGGAGAACTTCAGTGGAGTTCCTAATAAATTATTTGGAGAAAAGGATGAATGGTAAGATGTCAAAGTCTGCTGATGATACAGAATTATTAATAATAACCAAATTAAAAATGAGCATCAAAGACTTGCGGGAATCTCACGGTCAGATGGGCCAGGACTCTCTAGTTGAACATGAGGGGGGAGCGCGTAATGGAAAGTCACGGGCAGTTTGCAGGGAGTGAGCAGGAGCGAGGACCTTGTTGTGCCTGCTAACGCAAGCCACGGGCGGTCAGCGGGCAGACAGGGAAGGGAAAAAGGAAAGACGTGTTAACATCATGAATGCTGTATATATTCTATTGCGCTTGCAATATGATGGGTAATGCTGTGTGTTTGTTGCCTCATCCCATGTTTTTGAAGGCCAGACACGTACCCTGAGGCCTCGGGTGGTTGGACGGAGGTGAAGGAGTGCTCCCCATTGGCAGCTGCCCGGCCCCTCTGCCGGCCCAACTTCGGGCTGGGGAACCACAGCCCTGCAGCTCGTCACACCGTGAACGTGCTCAGCGGCATCGCTGGCCCCTTCCTCCTCTTCACTTCGGGGCGTTTGCTGCTGGCCGCCCTCGGGGATACCGTGCTGGGCCAGGCAGACCTGTGCCTGCTTTTGTGGCTCTTGGGTTTGTCTTAATTTTCGTGGCTTGTTTTCAACAGGGGTAGCTGGAGAACTGCAGTTAGTGAGCAGCGTGAGCCCGCTGGGATGCTTGCCTCTCCACACAGGAGAAGGGCTCTCAAATCAGTAGTTACCTTAGCCTGGCTGGAGAGTAAGTTTAACGTGATATTTTTAAGGCCAGTTTCCTCTAGTTTGTAGATCTGACCTAGAAATGAAACTGCAAGGTTGGGTTTGGATTTGCTGATCTGATACAGGACGTCATCCCTTTTCCTGCCCTTGTGGCCTCCAGAAATGGGGCAGAATTGGGATACTTTGGTTAGTTCAGTTCTAAGTCGATCTCAAAATCTCCCTCCATTTGCACCTTGCTCTGAACCGGGTTTTGAGATGTACGTTAAGACTATCCTGTGTCTGGGAACCGTCTGTCTCCTTTTGAACCACGGGACAAACCCAGGCAACGTTCAAACAAGGGCATAGAGTGTTCAAAGTGTTTTTCTTGTAGTAAGGCAATCCCCATCCAGGACAAGACGCTGAAGTATTTAATCTGCTCGGCAGAATGATTTCTTTGTCTTTGCTTTTTTCCTCTGTCTCTCCCTCCCTCCTGTTTTTTGAATTTAAGTTTAAACTTACACAATGCTTATATTCTGTAGAAGTTGTTGCTCCTGTTTTCTCCCTCCCCTGCTTTCTGCCAGGGGAGGTGCAGCAGCAGTGACCCCACCGAAGCCAGCACACGCTTCTCAGCAGAAGGCAGCTTTGCAGTGGAGTTGTGGGGATCTGTGATTTCGCTCGCATTCGTCCCTTGGGGTTTAAAGTGTAGCGGGGCTCACGTGTCCCTGGAAATAATGCTCGGCTAAATCACGGAGAGGCTTATCTTGTGTCATCTTTGCCCTTAATGTGGGTAGGGAGGCTGATGCTTCTGGGGATATTCAGGTTCTTTCTTTTCATTAACCTATTGCGCGCTGTGCCCAGAAGGGGATCTGGGCTGCGCTTTGCAGCAGCGTTTGGTGAGAAGCCTCAGGCACGTGTGTGGGAATACGAGCGTCCTGGTAAAAGGCTTTTCAAGACATCCCGTCGAGGCTCACAGCTGGGATGGGATCGCTCAGAGGAGGTACCGTGCACTATTTTATCCGGTCTGGTGCTGAGTGCGATGAGTCAAGTGCTGGAAGCGCCCCTCCTGGGGGACTGTGCCGAACGGGAGCGTGGGGCAACTGAGCCGGCTCCAGAAGGGTTAAAGGCGCCTGCAGTTGTGGTTCTGCTGTTTGCTTTTGTGCTAGATTGCTCTTTGATGGTAAATTAGGGTAACGTTTTTTTCCAGAGATGTCACTTTTAATTCCTCCCGTCTCGAATTTATTAATCAGTTGTGACACGCTGCGGGTACACGGAGGAACTGGAAGGTTTTGTGTTTTGTGCTTGCGTGATGTAAATGTAAACAGTCTCAGCAAAGCAGCAAGGACCGACTGCAGCACGAGGCTGCGCATAATTGATCAGCGCGGTGGTAATCTGCCAGGAAAGACGCCGGGTGCTGGGCCGCTCCTCCCCGCGGCTTCCCTGGGTACGCTCGGCCGCAGTGGGGGTCGTTCCTCCGTAAATGGGGGCGTTAGGTTTTGTTCATCTCCACCGAAGTGTTGGGCCCCCCCGCTGACCGGCAGCGTACGGTCCCTGGCGTTCGGCCGTGCATCGCTCGGGCGCGCCTCTCGCCTTTTGGCTTCCCCGCATCCCAGAGAGAGGGAAAGTAGGAGCTCGTGGGGACTGAGTTTTTAGTGTCTGAGCTGGAGAGATTATCTGCAGCCAGGACGTTAAACTCCTTCTCCCTGAGAATTTTAATACAGAATCAAAGAGAATTTATAGAGCCAGGTGTCTTGTCGGTAAATAAATGGATCTCACTGAGATCAGAGGATCCACTCTAGCGCCCATAGGCGCTGCAGGCGATGTATACCCAGTGTATACCCAGATTGACTGGCTCAGCAAACCCCAAACGGAGGAACTCTGCTGTTAGGGAGATACCGTAAGTTGCTCAGGAAGCATTTACCCAAAGTATGCGTGTAGTTAGAAAGGTGGTCCTGGTACGCAGAAATAGTTTGGAGTCCCAGGAGAACGGAAAACCAGAATAAATTGAAAAAAAACCCCACTGCTGAAAATAAAAACGAAACTGTAGGCCCTAAGTCATAGTTAGAAAAACCCCAAACCAACCCGCAAAGCCAAGAAAGGAAATGGGTAAAGATTATAATGAAAATACAACAAAGGTGGGGATTGAATTCCTGAAATTGGCAGGTAGAGGAATTAAATACAGAAGCAACAACTTAAATAAGTGCCTGTTTGTATAGAATATACACAGAGATGTTTGCCACAGGCGTGCCCCGCGCCGCTGGTTAGGCCGATGCGGGTGCCGTTGGGGTGCACGGTTACGAACGGGCGGAGAAATCCTTGTGCCTCCTACGTTGAATCTCTCAGTACAAGACATGAAAGATGGGGTGCATCTTCACCTTCAGCCTTCTGCCGTGTCTTTGAGTCGGTTCTCTGGATCAGGGTGCAGCGATGGGGGCGTCCGCAGTGCCCTCTGGTCTGTGCCAGTGCCCGCCGCAGGCTGGGGGGCG